ATATATATATATATATAATACACACTTGCCAAATGCTACACATATAAGATGACTTGTCATGCTTGTGTTCTAGTCGAGTCTAGTCTCGACTGTTCTGTTCTATTCTACTCCATGATGCGATTGTAACTACACACGCAGTATTCGGCATATAGCATAGAACATGTAGTTCGCAATATTCTACACTACAACACTATGTATGAAGTACAACTATATGTATATGTGCACATAAATATATATATATATATGTCTACACATGTATGTATGTCTGCTGTCTGTCTGTCTGTCTGTCTGTCTGTCTGTCTGTATGTATGCATGTATGTATGTACGTATGCCTATACAAGTACAGGTGCTTATACATATACATACATATCTAACAAATTCGTTATTTAGTTGTTTGCTTATGCATAATCCCTAAGGGTCCATGTACCCAAATAGTAGAACATTGGCCTTAATGTAGTCCCTATATAGGTACTTTGGGGCCAATGTTCTACTATTTGGGTACATGGACCCTTAGGGAATCTGAGGATCAAGGTTCAGGGCCACATGATTTTCATGCTTCCGACAGGTCTACGTGACACACCTGACCAACGACGCTACTGGGACTCTTTGTGCTTAGGGGTACGGGCTTACGGGTTTTTTAGGGGCTTCGCCCAGACACCTCCAAAATCCTTGAATTAAGGAATATACCTTAGATTTTTCATCCTACCATAACTTCTAATTAAGGAATGTACCTTAAAGCACAAGAAGAGGCATCCTACCGTAATTTAAGGTACATTCTTTAGTTCGGGGATGTGGGGACCCATAGGCCCCATAGTAGTTCCTTTTTGTGGTTTATTATTTAGGATCCTATTGGGGAACCCCAAAAAGGGTTTAGGGTTTAGGGTTTAGGGTTTAGGGTTTAGGGTCTACTATGGGGCCTATGGGAAGGTCTAGGAGGGTTTAGGTCGCATGGCCGCTGGAGCCCTCGACCGTTCATCTTTGGGGCTGAACCTTTATTAAGGGGTCCATGTGCCCGAACAAGGTTCCTATCAGGGTTCCTTTAAGGGGTTCCTTTAAGGGGTTCCTTTAAGGGGTACTATAAGGGTTTTGGGTTTAAGGGTCCATGGACTCAAATAGTATATACTTTAGCCTTAAGGTAGTCCCTATATAGACACTTTGATGCTATTTGGGTACATGGACCTTCAGGGACTCTGTTATGCCCTTGCAGGAGGGTTTAGGGTTTAGGGAGGCAGCAGCCACGAAGTGGGGGTTAGAGTTACTTGCTGCGGTGTTGGTGTTATCTGCCACGCAGCTGTTATCCTCCATTCTAGGACCGTTTTGCAGTTTAAAAGACTCACTCACTTACACATTTTAGGGGTTTAGGGCTTAGGGTTTAGGGGCTTAGGATATTACAGCCCTACCACTTGGCTTGGGCTTGGTGCCTCTCGGTTATCCCGTCTTAAGACCTAAAGCAGGTGCTACTGTGCAACGGTCACCATTGCTGGTGCGCAATTGGATTTGTTTGTGTCTGTAGTTTCCCTAGGGGTCCATGTACCCAAATAGTATTTTCTTTGGCCTTAATGTAGTCCTTATACAGATACTTTGGGGCCAATGTATAAACTATTTGGGTACACGCACCCTTAGGGTAGAGTACCTTGAGAGTGCATCTATACTACTCTTATGAAACCGGGTCCCTAGAGCCACAGCAACGATGGTCTTTTGGGATCCACTTCTATGGTAGTATACATGGACCCTTTGGGTGTCCGTCGCCTAGGCAGTGCCGCACTTCCTTTGACGTTGCATCCCTGCGCGGGAACCGTGAAATGCTAGCTTTCTACTTACGACCTTTGGATGGTCGTGCATGATGCTCATGTGCCGGCTAAGGGAACTGCCCAACAGGGCTATCGTGGAACGAGAGGGCGAGGAGGTTCGAGATGTAGCGACAGAAGGGCTTTGGTTTCTTCGGAGATCGCAGAGCCATGTCTAACTTAAGCCCTGAACCTAAACCCCAAACCCTCAACCCTCAACCTGAACCCTAGACCCTACAGACCCAAGACCGAGCCAAGGATTATGTGGTCGGCGCTGAGATTCTGGCAGCCTCGTTGACTGCAACAGGCCATTTGAAGCCCGAAACTGAGTTTAGGGCTTGGGGTATAAACGGTCCATGTGCCGGTATTGTTAATTCCCAATCCCTAAACCCTAAACCCGAAGCCCCTAAACCCGAAGCCCCTAAACCCCATGCCCTTAAATCGAAACCCCAAGCCAAAATTCCCAATCCCTAAATCCCATGCCCTTAAACCCTAAACCCGAAGGCCCTAAACCCCATGCCCTTAAATCGAAGCCCCAAACCTTAATTCCCAATCCCCAATCCCTAAACCCTAAACCCGAAGCCCCTAAACCCCAGAGACCCTTAAACCCTAAACCCTGAACCCTAACCGAAGCCCTAAACCCCATGCCCTTAAACCCTAAACCTGCGGCCCCTATCATTGCCCTAAACCAAG